CTAATTTTTAAAGAGTTTTTTTTTAATTAATTAAAATGTATTTATTTATTTAATTTGGAGTGTAGAGAAAAGCCTTACAAACCGTATCCATTATATAAAATTGCAATGTTAAAGTTCAATAACAACGTTCCCTTTACTAGAGACAACAAAAATCCCATATATATACTAGGCTATTTAATAATAGTTCAAATTTAAAATGGGCAATATTGTGCTGAATGTAGAACTTGACGACAACAACAATAATAACTAAGTACAAAATAAAAAAATATATATACTAGAAGCTGGGTGTGCTCCTCAAGAGGACTATGGTATTGTAAATTTATAAGTCTTATATATTTTATATTTGCAGTTTTTCAAAGTACAACTGTTTACATGTAGTAGAAAGGTAAGCAAAAGAAACGTAATAACTTAATACTGATCTTCATTATGTTATGTGCAGGAAAAAAACATGAACTTCTGCTGAGAGTAATGTTCGCACTGCGCTGTTGTAACTGATCAGCGCTGCGCTGTCAGTTCGGTGGCGCTAGTAAACACGTCCTCTCTGCGCTGTCGAGTCGGTCGCGCAGCTCGGTCCATTGAGCCGCGCCGATGACAGGTCAGCGCGGCGCGAACACTTTAATACCGCGCTGTTTCGTCCCACTTTTGGGTTGTTTGGCTTCCCATAGAATGATCATGCGCGCGCGAGGGCTTGTATTGTGCGCAGAGGACATGTCACGCTCGCGCGAGGGTTTGAAATGAGCTCGCGGTCTCCCGTTTCCTCGTGTGTAAATCTGTTTTCCTCTCGTGGAAGTGATTTACCGCGCGCGCCAGCATCAGTGGTGCGCTCGGTTATTAATGGCATAGGATTGCCGCCATAGAAGACCCAAAGGAACAAATCCCAGAACCCAAACCCACCATTAGCGTATACACTCTTACATTTCCTATAAAGTGATCATAAAATAATAGTCTAAGGAAGTTTGTGGTAGATCTAAGTTCTGATTTAGATCTAAACAAATCTAAATCAGAACATATCATAAACTGTTGTTCTTCCATGTTGTATAAAATAACTGTATTCACTGATCATGTTTTGGAAAAGAGGAAAAACTGAAATCCTAGTCAATTATTTATAAAAACTATCAATTTGTACCATGGCACCTTTGAACTGCCATATTCTGTAGTCAGTATTTCAATAATTAAAATGATTAGGAGAATTTAACTATTTAAGTTAATATAGTCTTGCATGAAATAAGTATCCTTTGTTACACTCATTACATTCATCACAGTTACTTAAAGCTGATAAATCTCCTTTCCAAGTTGTAAATGTATTTCTTCTTTTCAAACAAAACAATAAAGTTATTAAACAAAACAATAAAAGCACAATGTTTTTACAGACATTTAAGAAGGGCGGAAGTATTCAAATACTTTTTGGGAGCACTGTATACTGACAGTATTAATGATGCACCTTTTTTTTTTTTTTTTTAACTGAGCCTTGTTTGCGGTCAAGTAACAAAATTTTGGTCTGTTTCCTGTTAGGAATCAACAGCCAACTTTCCTTTCCCTTCTTCGCCCCCACCCATCCCAAAGGCATCACAGCCCCAATTCAGTGGGATCAATCCCTTTTCTAGGAGTGCTAGTGAGTAAATATCATCTGTACGTCTGCCTCAAATTTGATCAAATTTGATCAAGAATGCAGTAAAAAGATAAAAAAATGCAGTAAAAAGATAATAAATGATATTCACTTTAATTCTGATTCTGGCAAAATATCAGTGCTGGTACTACTAGATCTTAGTGCTGTGTTTGAACTGTCGATCATAACATACTTCTATAGAGACTGGAAAACTGGGTCGGGCTTTCTGGGATGGTACTCAAATGGTTCAGGTCATACTTAGAAGGGAGAGGTTTAGGGCTGCACGATAAATCGCATGCGAAATCACACTGAGCAGCATTAACTACACAGAGCCGTTGTTCACTGACGAGCTGCGCAAAACCACGTTCATATTCTCGCGATTTTTTGCGCAGCTCGTCAGTGAACAACGGCTCTGTGTAGTTAATGCTGCTCAAGTATAGGAGAGCATAAGTCTAAATGGACGTCCATGACATGCGGAGTCCCACAAGGCTCAATTCTGGCACCGTTCTTGTTTAGCCTGTATATGCTCCCACTAAGTCAAATAATGAGAAAGAACCAAATAGCCTATCACAGCTATGATGATGATACCCAGATTTACCTAGCCTTATCTCCAAATGACTACATCCCCATTGACTCCCTCTGCCAAGGCATTGATGAAATTAACAGTTGCATGTGCCAGAACTTTCTTCAGTTAAACAAGGAGAAAACCAAAGTCGTTGCATTTGGAAACAAAGATGAAGTTCTCAAGGTGAATGCATACCTTGACTCTAGGGGTCAAACAACTAAAAATCAAGTCAAGAATCTTGGTGTGATTCTGGAGACAGACCTTAGCTTCAGTATGTCAAAGCTGTATCTAAATCAACATACTATCATCTCAAAAACATTGCAAGAATTAGATGTTTTGTTTCCAGTCAAGACTTGGAGAAACTTGTTCATGCCTTTATCACCAGCAGGGTGGACTATTGTAATGGTCTCCTCACCGGCCTCCCCAAGAAGACTATTAGCAAGCTGCAGCTCATACAGAACACTGCCAGGATTCTGACAAGAACCAGAAAATCTGAGCATATCACACCAGTCCTCAGGTCCTTACACTGGCTTCCAGTTATATTTAGGATTGATTTTAAAGTACTTTTACTCGTTTATAAATCACTCAATGGCCTAGGACCTAAATACATTGCAGATATGCTCACTGAATATAAACCTAACAGACCACTCAAATCATTAGGATCGAGTCAGTTAGAAATACCAAGGGTTCACACAAAACAAGGGGAGTCCGCTTTTAGCTATTATGCCGCCCACAGCTGGAACCAGCTTCCAGAAGAGATCAGATGTGCTAAAACATTAGTCACATTTAAATCCAGACTCAAAACTCATCTGTTTAGCTGTGCATTAATTGAATGACCACTGTGCTACGTCCGAACTGATTGCACTGTATTTTATATATAATCATTTTCTTTCTGTGGTATAATCATCTTTAACTGTTTTAAATTCATTTTAAATCAATTTTTTTATTATTTTAAAAGTTTTTAAATTCCTTGTTTTATTGTTGTGATTATTTTTTTATGATTATTTTACTTCCTTTTATGTAAAGCACTTTGAATTACCATTGTGTATGAAATGTGCTATATAAATAAACTTGCCTTGCCTTGCCTTGCCTCATCACTAACTTGGAGCTCTGAGACTGTTACACTTAATGAGCATGAGCTGACAGACTCAAACCTTTGCTGAATCACTGTGCTCGTTGTCCTGTTTGACAGCTGACAATTTAACATTCAACCCTGATGCAGACAGTTGTGGTCACAAATCCCTTGCAGAATTAGTAAAGAGGGATAATAAAATGCAGTTTATTTTTTATTTAGTAGGATAAAAATACAAAATATATAAACTTTTGAACGGATTCATTTAAAATGTAGTTATTTTGTCTTGTGGACTGTATGTAAAGTTCTGTTATGTGAAATAGCTTAGTCGGGGGATTACTAAAAATGCAATTTTTTTATTTATTTAAAATATTAAAGCATTTTTTCCACTTTATTCACTTAATACATAAAGTAGTCAATAAAGTTCATCAATTGTTCTCAGGGTTCTAATAAGATCTTAAAAAGCTAAGAGAAAGTTGAAATTTGTTGGTCAAAAGGTGCTTTTATCTGGAATAAATATACAATATTTATGTTTGAGATCCATATGGTCCGTATTTTTGCACAAATTAAATATTTCGAAAGTTCGAACAATAGTTTTTTTAACAAGTCTAATATGATCATGATATTCTGTGTTACAGGACAAACATTGTCTGGGACAATGAGTCAGAATCAAGGGTCCATGTCACAGGTAGAAATCCTGGTAATTGCATATCTATCATAGCTGTCATGCAAATATTCAGGTTTATTGTTTTGTTCATAGGGTCCCTAATTAAGGTTCTTAATTGAGGAGTAATCACATGCTGAGGAACTCAGGGATGGACTTTCAGCCTGGTGACTAGTTTTCACATGACTAAGGGATTCCTCAGACACACCCCTGCAGTTCCCATAGAGGAGGTTAGAGGAGCGTCTGTATCTTTATCTGTGGTTACAGAAATACACTGAGGACATAGAGGTCTTTAAATAATCTGTTAAGTGTTTGGTGCCCAGTCTTCATTGACTGAAGACACTGAACAGCTGAGGCACAGCTCCCCATGCTGACTCTAGGGATTTGTGTCATTCCCTGTGGGGCTGGGGACATGATGAAATGGGTGCTGAGCAAAGGTGCTGTGACTTATGGAAACATGAACTTAAAACGTCTCCACAGCTGGCAGTGTCAATAAATTGTATAACATGTAACACTTCCATCCCTCATCCCACCTCCCCACACGCAAAATTATTTTAATAATTTAAGGGGCTTTTCACAATTCAAATTTTTAAGATATGGAGCCGGACAGTAGTGAAGAAGTGGGAAATGTTGTAATTGTACAGGTAGACCCTTTGGGCTGCCACTGCCTTGATTTATTCCAGAGGGAGAGATATTGATGATTTATTCAATACCTCTACCAAAAATGTATACGATTGTTTAAAAAAATTTCTAATAAAAATGAATACTATTTGTGTATGACAATGTATTTAATTAACAAGTAACAATATAAAATATGGAAATATGAGCCAACATCTCTTGTTGCAATGTAGGAGAGTGGAGTTTATCAAGATGTATGCCATCTTCTTTTACCATGAGTGTGCAGATCTGGCAACAGAGGGACAAATGTTAGCAGAAGTGTGGAACTCTGGGGATTAAGTCTTCTGTCCTCAAGAGAGACATACATAGGGAATAACATGATTCCAACAACATTCACTATTCCAACACCCTCCCATGTTTCCAATACCACATTTCACACATGAATCCTGAAAAAATCTGGATTTTATTAATTCTGTCGGAGTTTTAACTGCATAAAAGAAGAGGTAACAGTTCATAATTAATTTAATTCACCATATAACATGTACCACCAGCCCTATTTCCGCAACCTCAAAATGCAATTACACATTTTCTCCTACTGCATACATTTAGTGCCAAAATATAGTATCACCACATACATATGTTCTAACTTGAAATAGCTCTATGCATGCAACACCTCTAAGAGAATTCACAATATTCCTTATCACTTTCTCTCACACACAGAAACTACCTTGTTTGGCAAGAGGCTATAAGCTTCGAATAACATTTTACAAATGGGTCACCAGTGTGTTTATAGTGTGTACTTTTACTAGAAATATACACAGTGGTTTATTTGAAGTATTTCAACAGTGGTCCCCACAATTTCCTACAGTTAACACTAATAAAAATAGGCATAAGTCATTTCAAATGTTTTTTTTTAATTCTAGCTAAATATAATATGTTGTTAAGACTGATATATAGATAGATAGATAGATAGATAGATAACCCAGGCTTACTTGCTATCCTCCAGTTACTTCAGTAACAGTACTTAGGTAATGCAAGTCTCAGCGTCAGCATGGCTCTGCATGTGTTCTGTAAGCAGGGAATCCTGTGGGAAAGATTTACTGCACTGCCCACATACAAAGATTGTGCCCTCTCCATGCTGCTTCTGATGCCTCTTGAGTGCCGCAAGGTAGCTGAATGACATATCGCAGCCTTGGCAGTGATAGGAGCACACAGCTGTGTGAATACGCTGGTGTCGCACTAGCCGGGACACCATGGCGAATGCCACTCCACACTCTGAGCACTTGTGTGGCCGCACTCCACTGTGAACTGTGAGATGTTCAGCGAGGTTGGAGGACTTGGTGAAAGCTTTGGAGCAAACGGAGCAGGTGTAGGGACGCACGCTGCTGTGGATTTTCCTGTGCTCTGTCATGCGACTGGCTAGGGCAAATGCTTTCCCGCACTCCGGGCAAACAAAGGGCCTCTCACCCAAATGCTTGCGCTCGTGACGGAGAAGAGATAGGGGTTTGTTGAAGGTTTGGCCACACTGCTTGCAGAGGAACAGCTTGTTGTTGGTGTGCATGTTGCGCTCGTGCTTCCGCAGGTCCGAGGAACGCACAAAGTCCTTGCCACATTCCTCACAGTTGTATGGCTTCTCTCCAGTGTGCGTTCGAATGTGTTTGCGGAAGTCAGAGGACCAAATGTAGCTTTTCTCACAAAATGGGCATTGGTACGGTCTTTCGCCTGTGTGTAGCCGCTTGTGCTGCTGAAGAGTACCTTGGTGCGAGTAGGCTTTCCCACACAGGTCACAAACATGCGGTTTAAGACCTTGGTGAGTATCAATGTGGCTCAAAAGGTTGCTAGACTTTTTGAAAGCCCAGCTGCAGTAGGGGCACTTGTATGGACGGTTTTCCATGTCTCCCTCCATTCCTCGCTTCTTCATGGCTGCAAACACAAATTGACTTTTTAAAACCTGATTCTGGGAAGAGTTCAGGTTACCCTCAACCTCGCATTCATCCCCCACAGTCTCCTGCTGATCTTGTGGAATCGCTGCCAGATCATATGGCATAGTCATTTCCACCTCCTGCTTCACTTTCATGTTGGTGATGCTGGTCGCTTCCAAGTGCTCATGATTCAGTCGGGAATCAGATCCAGGCTCAGGGTCAGATCCAAGCTCAGCCTTCACATCAGTTACATCCACTTCTCTCTCCTTTTCAGAGGATTGTTCAGAATATTTCTCAGGAAGGTGGCATGTAGCTTGACTTCTAGAATTCTCTTGGATTGTTATGTTTTTGTTTTTATTTTCATCACAGCTGGCAGAAGCACTGATGTCCTCTTCACTGGGTAGATTAAAGCTCATTTTCATGGTGTCAGTAATGTTACTCTCCACAGGCAGATAATGCCTCTTGCTGATGAGAATCTTTCTAATACTGCGTTTTGATATGTAGACATTATCTGTAAAAGCTGTTGAATTCCACAGGTCATTCATTTTAGCAACTGTAGATGATTTCTTGAGTGGAATTGAGTGCATCGACCTTTATTAACAAATTGAAATGTCTGTGTTCACAATCCCTGAAAAAGAAAAAGCATACGTTTAGTTGTCAGATTGATATACAATATCTTGAAAAATACAGTTAATCTGAATTTTACAAACTGTGAAATTTATAGACTAATACTTTACACCTCAAACAACAAAATAAATATAACATCCTGCTGACCTACATTGAACAAGAGTTTTGGATATAACAAATATCAAGATATCAAGAAGCCAAAATTCATTACAATGCTGGTAACCCTCCTTATATATCAACTGCATTATAGATCAAATGCAATCAATTCTAAAAGCCCATTCAAAAGGCCCTTGTTTATTTTATTTTAGGCTATGAATTAACTCTTGGATTTTTGAGTACTGATGGCATAATGGAGCTATTAAGGTATCCAGCATAAATTATACTAACTGGAAACCATCCAGCAGATTCTCTTGGTAGAGTTACACACTCTTTGAGCCAACAAAGATGTTGTTTTCAGCTGTCATAGTGCATAGTATGTCCTCTCAAGAACCATTAAAACATCTCACACATGCAAAGCGTCTCTTACCTTGGCAGCACCAAGTCCACCAATGGTGATTTCAAAGAGTGCAGTTAATCCACTTCCTCTTCATGGTGGACGTTTAGATACCATAGGAGGAGCCAGAGCACAGTTAAACTTACTTCACATGGGGGAGTGCAACATCTTTTTAGCGGTGATCAGCACTTTAGAAAAACCATTTGCTGTCGGGAAAGATCAAATCATTGACACTTTACCCATGCCAGATGTGAGGTACATGGGATATTTCCCGGGGAACACCACATAAACATGATGATGCAATTAAAACCAACCAGGATTGTTTTTTGTTTTTTTGTAGGCTGTAGCACAATTTTAATATTTAATCATATTTTTTTCAGCCTATATTTTAAAAAGTAAAATGAGCCATCTCGTCCAGCCTATATACTGTATCTCTAATAGCAGTTTCTATGTTTGTTGTTCACAGATCAATTTTCACTGCAGCAAATTTTCTCATTAGTATAAATGTATGGTTGTTGTTTTTTTTTATCTGAGATGTGTCAATGTTTTACATTCTTTAGTTAATTTAATTAGCATCTAAATATTTCTGCTAATTCACATATTGAGTGAAAGAATGAAGAACGGGAATAATCTGCATATGTTAGACATAACTGACAACCTGATACCCATCCAGCAGGAGTACACATAGATAAAAAATATAAAAGTGTCAGAGGAAATATGAGAGGAAGAGAACATACTGTGGATCAGCTAGTACAGGACACCTGTTTGCCTCTTAAGGTTCAATCTACCCCTCAATGTAAATGCTGATGGCAGGGTATGCTGACATTGAGGCCTATACTCTCTACAGAATAACAAGACTTGGTGGATTGTTTTGGGCAGCATCTGAAGAAAAGATGTCAGAAATGTTGTCCTCCTTTCTATATACATATGTATGTAATAAAGGATTTGTTCATTCAAATAACTTGTTCTTGTTTTTTTAAGAGTCATTGTTACTGATAAGAATTATTGTTTAATATATACCGTGATAACCGTGAAGCCGTGATATTTTCTGAGACGATTATCATACCGTGAAAATCTCATACCGTTACCAACCCTAGTATGTATATAACAATGCTGGCCAAAACAGTCCACCAAGGTGTGGTGTTTGTTTTGACAACTGCTATAGTGTTCTTCGTCCTCTAAGAACTAGTTATGTTTACGAGTTAATGAGAGTGCAGTGAGTTACTCTAAATGTAATATAATGTTGTATGGGAGTGTATGATAGATCACATATAGGGGGGAATAACATATAGGGGAGTTAACTTGTATCCTGGAACAAAATAAGTTGCAGCAATGTATGTACAGTACTGTAAGACTAGCTAGCACACTAGACAGCAACCATAGCTCCTATGATGACACAAACCATTTCTGAACAATTTTTGCCGTGTTCAGAATGAAGTATCCACTTGCCATCAGGGAACACTACTGCCATGAAGGTCTGCAACTTTAGGTTGGTAGGTAGTACGTGTCAAAATAACATCCACATGATTGCCCAAAGTTTCGCAGCAGAGAACATTGCCCAGAGCCCATATTGCATCCCTGGCCATCTCTTGGCCAGGTAAACAATGCACACGCACCCAACCATCCACCTGATCTAAAAGAAAACATTACTTATCAGACCCAGTAACCTTCTTCCATTGCTCCGTGGTCCAGGTCTGATGCTCATGTGTCCACTGTAGGCACTTTCGGTGGTGGACAGAAGTCACCATGGGCACGCTGACCAGTCTGCGGCTACACAGCCCCATACGTCAACAGGGATGCACTGTGTTCAGACACTTTTCTATCATGACCAGCATTAAGGTTTTCAGTCATCTGAGTATATATATTATTTTAAACAGTTCTATCATTCTTTAAAAATGTATTATGTTTAATCAGTAATTATTCCGCTCATAAGTAGCCTACAGTTTTTGTTACATTTGACATTCCATTAATACATTAACTCTTAATACATTGGTTTGGAATAATGATACTACTAGTACATTCTCTAATATAACCAATCATAAGTGTTATAATCTCTGGAGGATTCAGTTCATATAAAGAAAATTCACCATCAACTTGTTTGTCCTGTGAACAATGTTCAAATGTCTATTTTGCATTCATTTTATTTGTTATGTCACATGTCCAGTACTCTGAATCATCCTTAAATAGAAACAGCAGCGCAACAAAGCTAAACACTGTTACTAAATATTTCTGAATTCACTTTGGTTTATTCAGATACAGAAAAACACTGATTATTCAGTCAGTATGCTTAATAGATTAATTAAGCTTAATTGAGTTGGTCATTCTGTATAGCTCATTAAAATATTTACTAAAGACAGTTATTCTTTCAGTATTTGACAGAATTGGCCACTTTAACAAACAATGCAAAAAATTTAATTTAATTTTTACAATAAAATTTTACAACGTCAAATCAGTTTTATTCATGTAGATAGAACTTTACACGATGTACATTGTTTCAAATCAGCTTTACATGAAAATATTGCAGTCCATTACCTGAAATTCCAAAGGTTTAATAATATTATTTTTAGAGTGCATATTAAGTCAATACTTTTAGGCGCTCTCATGTTAAAATATTATCTTTATACACATGTTGTATATAATACACTACAGACAATATGAGAAAGACTTTTAAAACACTGTGTGAATGTGATGAAATGTTTCATGGATTTAATATTCTAGCAACATTGTATCAACTATGACTTGAAGAAAATATTTATTAAAGGGGTAGTTCACCCAAAAATAAAAATTCTGCCAAAATTTACTCACCCTTAAGTTGTTACAAACCTGTTTGTTTTGTTATTTTGTTATATTTTGTTTTGTTATAATTGTTAAACACAAAAGAAGAACCAAAATAAGTAAACAGTTGCTGGTCCTCATTGACTTCCATATAATTTTTTTCCATACTATTACTATAGAAAGTAGACCAGCAACTGTTTGGTTACCCATATTCTTCAAAATATCTTCTTTTGTGTTCCACAGAAGTAACAAAATGTTTAACAGAACCCATATGACTTCATTGACCCGATTATGCTTGACACAGACTGAATGGACCTACATGTGGAATCTGGATCATCAGCTCGGAGATTGAGTTGAGGTAGAGGGAGATGAATGTGATGCTCTTGATCTGCAGTTGTAAATCTCTTTATATCGAAGAATTTGTCATGTGCATTTTAATGTTAAACACGCATGTGGCTATTGTGGCTGTTTACCATCATTGATCTACTGAACTGAATTACACTGAACACAGGAATATGGTGCAGGTTCCGTATGATCAAAAGAAAACAAATACATATTTAAAAGTATATTCCCAAAAGCCTGCACAAATTACACATGCACACATTAATAGAAAACAAGATACATGAATATCACAGATCACCAGGACATTGTAGCTACAGGGTGTCTAAAGTAAGGTCAGCTGAAAGTACAAAACATTGAAACAATGCAGGAAAACAATAAATACTACTAATAATAATAATATATATATATATATAGATAGATAGATCGATCAATGAATATATGTCAACAAGTATGAGCATTATAAGTTGTATATTTGTTGTTATTTTTGCGGCATTACTGCTGTTTGAATCTGTTTTTGTTTTTGCATTTCCGATAACTTTAAAGTATTTTTCCAATAAGCATTCTTTAGAATTGCATGTATCTGCTTTTTATTTCAAGTTTGTTTGTTTTTGAAGGCCAGCATAAATATTCTGGTCCTGAGGAGGAGGAGGAGGTCCTGTTCCATATAAAGAGGACATTCTGTTCTCTTTCCCCACACTTCAGTCCTGGCTTTTGTTTGAAATTCACATTCAAACCAAATGGAGTAAATAACCTGGTATACCACTTATATCCAGCAGAGGTCGATATTATCTTATTTATACTACAGTATGTTTACCAACACCTTTCATCAGAGGACTTGTAGAAAACGTACAAGCATCTTAGAAATAATTTGAAAAACATTCTCTTAACATAGGCTAAATATCCTTTTACAAAATTTTAATATGAAAAATGGTCCGTGAAACACGAGAAATGTTTGATTTATGTATATAGCGATATCCTTATAGCCTATATCCAAAGTGGTAAAACTGGCAGTGTTAACTGACCTCGTTACAAATATCCACAAATAACCACAGACATCTGACCTCACCCAAACTCCCTGATCTGCAAGTTTGCATTAGGCTACTTGACCACTTAGCAAGAGGCAAGAGCAGTGGCGGCGTTTCACAAAACCATAGGGTCTGGCACTTGGGGGGTGGGGGGGATGGGGATAAATAAAGCAATCCCATGGCACGGTGAAGCACCGCAGTAAAGATAGTTTGCGGTTTGATATTCAGATTTCTTTTGGCTATAAATACGCAGTGCGCTGTCATAGACATGCAAATGATACCGAATATCATTGCCATGATTTGTGAATTCAGGTGACGCTGTCCTTCAGGACGAAATCTGAGTTTTTTTTCATAGCGACTCTTAATTTTATAATGCCTATAGCTCCAAAAGTTGGACACTTAGAGGAATGAAACCGGTGTCATAATATTGTCATAAGGTGCTGTTCCAGTGAATAACGGTTCCAATTCATTAGGTAAATGAGCTTATAGACATATACACTTGTACACTTTGTTTGACAATAAAGTTTTGGTTGTTGTACCTTTCCTTGAGTACTTGGCTTCAATATTCTGATCTGCGAAAGTTTCACAGTATAGCTTTTGTCAGTTAACCCTTTCTTGATCCATTAACTTAACTATTCTGATCTGAAAAACTTCACAGTGCAGTGTCGGTCAGTAAACCCTTCCCTGAGTCCGTAACATCACTATTCTGATCTTTGAAAACTTTCACAGTTCAATACGGGTCAGCTGACCCTTCCCTGAGTCATGAACATCACTATTCCGATTTGTGAAAACTTTCACAGTTCAGTTTTGATCGGCTGACCCTTCCCTGAGTCAATAACATCACTGTTATGATCTGTGAAAACTTTCACAGTTCAGTTTGGGTCAGCTGACCCTTCCCTGAGTCAT